TTTTTCTCCCTTGGTACTCATTAATTAACAGTGTGGTACCTCCCGTCGAGAGCTGGGTATGAATTTTAGACTAAAAATGAAGTGTATCTTTTAACTAGCTTAGGTTTTGTCAGGAAAAAAATAAGGCTTGCATCATATGAGAAATATACTTAGGCTTATATTTCAGTAGCTGTTCACAGTTAATAGTCAACAGCAGGGAATTCTTGTTATGTGCAGCCATTGTGTCAGAATTGAACATAGTGTGCAGAAGGATCTGTTAAGTTGTCAGTCTTGGTGTTACCGTTAGGAGGAGGAGGAAGAAGTGTCTGGTTTGGGCCAACTGAAGTAATTTCAGGGTTTTGGAGTTAAACTTAGCACCTTGAATTGACCTGACAGACATGCAGTATGTCTGTAACCTCACATTTCAGACCATGCCACAGGGTGCAGTAGTTGAAGCTTCAAGTTGATCTTTTGTGGCAGCTTCAGTTGGACTCTCTTGCAGTCACATAGCTTCTCCTGGAAATTTTTCTAGTTTTGCCTTGGCACTAATGCAGCTTTTACTGTCTCCGATAAATCTATAGTGCTCTATTCTCTTTTGCTGTTCTCCTGTACTCACGTCACGTTTGTTCTGTCTGTATTGTATGACTATCAGCCACTCTTTCTTTGCAATCATCATCTGTTCTAGTATGCATAAAATACTGTTGGTGCAAGAAATGTTAAATCGTCCTAGTAGTTAACACTGAAGCTATCTCCTTCTCTAGAATGCGCACTATTGGGGTTTGCACTGCTTCACTTGGCTCACTTGGCCTCATGCGGTTTTTTGGACTTTCCTGGTCATGGAGTATTGCAGCAGCTCTGGGCATTTACATTGGCAGTGGCGGCTGGACGTTCCTCCGGATCATCTTTAAGACAGCCTTGAGAGATCTCCTGTAAGTACAGTTTCCTCTTATGCCAAAATGTGCTGTTCTTTTTTTCCCATACATGACAGATCTGTTTCTACAAATGATAAATACATTTATGCCTTGGTGCTGGGCACTTCAGTAGGACTTAAGATGTGAACTCTGCTCTGTCCAAGAGTGTGGATAATGATTGTTCCTTAAATGGTCAGTGTTTTTATGCACAAAACTTTGTTTCAAGTGTGGGATTTTATAGCTCACCTACATGAGTTCTATTTAGTAGCAGCACCAAAAGCAATTTAGTACCTCCTTTCACTCCAAATTGGCTTTGGTGCTGCTACTAAATAGAAAGGAGGTCAAGATACAGAGTTCTAAATCTTCTTCTGATTATAAAGGGTTGGGTACATATGAGCTAGGTGAATCAAGGCTTCAGAAACTTGGTTTATCTGAGGACATGACTGAATTAGATGTCTCATCTAAACTCAAGTTACTAGCTTTTAGCCCAAAGCATTTCATAAGACTCTTTTGTGACAATAAAAGGAAGATAATCTCATTTGTATGCTGTAGAAAACAAAACGAGTGGTGGTGAGAAGGAAGAATGTCATAAAGCCAGCCTCATTTATATTTGATAATAATTTCTAAGAAATAGTTTGTGTAGTTGATGTGGATATATGGGTTTTATATTATTTCCTAGACAGACACATTTTCTGGCTTGGAGATGAATAATGTGTGATGGAGCCCTAACATTCTCATGTCTGCCTTGCTCTGAAGTTGAAATCAGCCCCTGTTTTCTGCATCTTTGGTGTTCCTTTGTTGCCAAAGGATTTAGGGCTTCTGAGCTTACAAAGACTGCCTCACTCTGTATAGTAGTTGTCAGTGCCCTCTGGATCTCCACTTCCTCCCAATGGTGTGGCAAGTGAGAAATAACAGCAGAGAATAAAGCCCTCTTAAGAATAAGGAATGTGCAACTAATGCTTGAAAAGGCTCTTCTGTTCCTTTCCTGGCAGAGTTTGGGGTAGGGTCACTGTGACAGGCCAGCGTCCCTTGGCTAAATACCAACTGCCTGTTACTAAACCAGCCTTTCTCCTCCAGGGCTCCTGCTTTGGACACTCATAGTTAGGAAGTCTGTGTAGTTTTCAAGAGGTCACTGATTTGTATCATTGGTTTTTTCTTCTTCCAGACTCCTCTTTGATCAACAACAAAAGGAGGTTTTGTACTGTCTTCCTGGATTTAGGGAAGTGGAATGTGTTTAGTGTGCTGTAGCTGACCATTATCTTGATTCTCTCATGTCCTTTTTCTTTTTAATGGATCTCTCTTTTGAATCTAAACAGGATGCCCACAACAAAGCTTACCAAGATTGCCCATTGCAATGGATTTTTTTTTCTAAATAATACAAAAAGCAGAAATATCAATTGCTCTGGTTTAACATTTTCTCTAAATGATTCTTCATGCTGTTACAAATATCAAACAGCAGTAGCAATGTGTCTTCAGTTCCAGATAGCTGTGGTAAAGGTACCGTCAGGATCTAATAATACACTGAGGTTGTATCTGCACTGCAGAAATGATGCAGGTTGACACCTCAGTGCTATGGAATTATGGGATTTGTAGTTTAGGTTGACACCTCAGTGCTATGGAATTATGGGATTTGTAGTTTTGTGATATAAAATTTAACCTTATCTGTCAAAGAGCCATGGTGCCATAACAAACTACAAACCAGGATTCCATAGGAACATTGAACTGCATTATTTCTTCAGGTGCAGTTAGGGCTAAAACTTCATAAATCTCCATCCCTTAACACACTTTCAGTATCCCCAGTAAATGGAATGAGATTAACTTATGAGTGAGTATAGAACTGCACATCAGACTTGAATTGTAATCTTTGTGCACCAGCTTCAGAGGAAATTCTGTTGAAGCTATGGGCTTTGCCATTTAGTAAATATTTCTAGGGTTGGGCTGCTTGCAATTTTGTTTGTTTTCCAAAATAGTTGCAGCATTTATCTGCTTCCCTCTTGAAATGGTTTTCCGTTGGACCAACAGTTGTTCACTTAATTCCTGAAGTGTAAGCAATTGCAGTTTCACTTAGTTTTGACTTAGATATACTGAAGGAGATGCTAAAGAATCTTTTTGTGAATGGGTTATTTTTGTTTGCTCCTTCTTTGTTTGTTTGATTATTTTTGTTATAATCAAATGCTGTTCTTCCTGTCTTCTCTCTTGCTCTCTTTCTTCCACATTTGCCTTCCACATTCACCAAAATGATCACAAAATTGCAGATAAGCCCATAGTGTTTTCTGTAGCATATATTACAAAACTGGACATGCATTTTTCCCCCCTATGAAATGCACCAATTCTGGTACGGAGGTTCTGCTGTGGGCTATAAATTTTACAAATTGTCAAAGAGAAACTGGATTCAATACTTGGTTTTTGAAAGAGAGGTATTGTGGTAAGGCAGGGGTAGGCAACCTTTTTGAGCCGGGGGCCGGGTTGCTGTCCCTCAGACAATTGGGGGGCCAAAGCACCATAAATAAATAAATAAATAAATAAATAAATAAATAAAATTAAACTAATTAAAAAAAATTAAAATATGCATGCACACTCTCTTGGTCCCAGAAAAGCCATGGCAAAACCCCTGTGGAGATTTTGCCAAGAAAACCCCAAGAACAAGTAATAACAACAATAATCAGTATCATCATGGTGGGGGGCGGCGGGGGTGGCAGCGGCAGGACCGTCCTGGGGCCGGTCCAAAGGCCTTGGGGGGCCGCATCCAGCTCCCGGGCCTTAGGTTGCCTACTCCTGGTGGTAAGGTCTACACAGGAGCCTTCCAGTGCTCCCTGGAAGGAAACTCTGCTCTTTAATTTTTAAATCACTTCACTTGCAACCATTGTTAATGTTCATATCTGTTAATGCATTATGACCATATGAAAGCTACCTTATACTAGGTCACATTACTGGTCCAAATAGCAAAGTAGTGCCTATCCCTCTCTAACGTCTTATGTAGGGCTTTCCCAGCTCTTCTTTCCAAGGAACTGAATCTGGGACCTGCTAAATGCAAAGCATTTACTCAGCCCACTGAGCTATTACCATTTCATTTACTTTTCTGGAAGTGAAGAGCATTTTGAAAATTCCTTCCTTTATTTTATATTACTATTTGTCTGTTTATTTAACAAATGAGGACAAAGTCATAGATAGGGAAAGGATAGTGGTAAATATAAGAAAAGGGAGGATGCAGAGTGGAGAGCAGTGCTTGCACATGTATAACAGTGAAGGTTTGTAATATCATGCAAAATTTAGTACTGAGCATGGCACAAAGCTGGTTACAAACGGGAAGCCTGTGTGGGCAGCTCTTTCAGGTACCTGCAGTGAGCTTACCGTATTTTTCGGCATATAAGACGCATTTTTTCTTCCCCAA